CAAGACAAACTGTTTACAGTTGGGGAATTTGTAGATGGTGTTTTCTCATTTGCAAAAACAGACAAGACAAGATCATGCTGGGAGAAGCCTGGCAGGGTTAAAGTCCCTGGGGGATTCTAAAAGCCAACCCAGTAAGAATTCAGAATGAAGAACAGAGCGCCGCTGCAGAACCCTGACATATCTGTGACTCTAAGAAAACATACTGCCACCATCATAACAGTGTCCAGGGCTTCTAGAACTGTGTAGAACTGTGAACCCACATGCCCCAACGAGAGCTGTGTCTTCGTGACATTTGCCTGCAAAGATAACCACAAGCGGGAAGGTACATCACATAGCAAAAGGTAACTAAACTGTGTTTCTAAGAGCAAGACAGTCTCGTCACTTGAGAAAAAAGGAGAATGTGCATAGCTATCCCACAAAGACCAATCCTCACCTTGCTTACCTAAGCAGCCTGCTCCAACTTACATATGAAAAGTGCTCAAAGGAACCTAGCAACACTGATGTCAACAACACTTTAGGTCATTGGCTGGAGATGTAGCACACCCCATTCCCCAGTGGCTCAAAACACAAACAAGGGTAGCTATCACTCTCCACCATGACCAGTACACACTATCAGAAGAACGATGCTTAGACCCCAAAAGGACAGTGCTGAAGAGCAAAGATGAGCAAGTGGGCTGCGACATGACCCACTCCCAGTGGCTCAAAACAAAACAAAGACAGTTATCACTCTCCATCACGACCATGTAGACACTATCAAAAGAGTCATGTTTAGAGCCCAAAGGACAGCATTGGAGGACAAGATGGGCAAGGTCAGGGCAACACTTATGGAAGCAGCTCAGAGACGAGTGGGTCATTCATTCCTTTTGGGGGGGTTCCAATCATCACATGAAGGGAAAGTGATGCATGACTCCTCCTTGGGAAGAACCAGAAGTCAACTGTTGTCAGTTGACGCCAGAAAGAACAAAAGGTTGCAGGGCACTTCAAATCTCCATCCCCTTGGAGCTTTCCTTAAGGAATGGATGTTATTTGGAGAAGTCACAATTTCAATATGGATTTAAAATAAAAATTTCTGCCTTGGTTGAAGATAACTTTATAAAGCAATATGGAAGTCAAGACAATCAGACAGGTGAGAAACATCAGGAGTTTCTCACACAAAGAACTGGCACCCACAGATTTATTTGGTATGTGCCATAGATACTGCCTCCTCTGGGCCATCCACTTCAGTTAGTTCTTGAGAAACAAAGACTTTCCAACCAGTCACAGACTGAAACAGAGCTCCCAGAGAAGCCATGACTTGAGATACCACCTCGGGTGTACAAATACAAAGCATCTTTTGAAAACCATATCAGGTGAAATATGAACAAAACATAAGTCAGATCAAGGCTGGGGACTCAGATCTGGATATCAACTCATTGCTACTTGGATTTTCTTACTATACTAACATTTTTAAAAAGGGTAGAAGAAAAGACAAGAAGAAAGGAGATTTTGGTTCATGGTGTCTGGGGGGTAGGGGAAAGAGAGGCTGCCACTTCTAAGAGAATCTCTGGAGTGAACCTAGCTGACCAGGACAGTATTTGAGGAAGTGGGTGGGGATCATTACCTTTCAACACCACGGGTTCTTTGCCTTCTCTCTTCAGGGACTCGAGGACTATGTGAAGCGGCTGGGACGGCATCACTCGGCTCGGTTCATTGGTATTCTCATCATAAACAATAATTTCTTTGGAAAAGATCCTCTTGAAAGAGTCTTTGCCTTCCCTACAGGAAATCAAGTCTAAGACAGTGATCTTGCCCTGCTGCAGCCTCCGCCGGCTGATCTTATCGGCACAATTAATGTGGACAGCTCCTTGGATATGACTCTTATTGTACTCCATGAAAGGCCTGCAGTCAATGATGACAGGACCCTGGCTGGACAGGTGACTCTTGCTGCACTTGGTCATCTTCTTCGCCAGGTCATTGGGGTAGATGATTTTGATGCTGGCTAGCTGCTTGGGAGTCCCTGACACAGGGCTACCCACCCCACCCGATGGACTTAAAGAGCCTGTGTTCTCATTGCTGTTGACCATCTGGTTAGCAGGGCAGGTGGTCGAGGTTCCTATGGCGGTGGTGGCAGTGCCTGCGGCAATAGCTTGAGTCTGGGCTTGGTGATCCTTGTCGTAGGTTGCCACAGTGCAGCAGCTAGTACTGCTGCATCCACAATTCAGGGAGCGGGCAGAGCCGCTGGATGAGGGCATATACGTCAGATTCGCAGCCTTGAGGGTCACAACGGCGGTGGCAATGACGGGAGGGTGGCTACTGCTGCCTGGGGTGGCAGAGCCAAGGTAGCTAGAGTCTAAACAAAGGTTGAGATCCTGAGGTCGGACAGGCCTAGACAGTGTCACTACTACCCTGTCGTCTAAAGGAGATGGAGGCATGAGGAGGCTGAAAACTGGCAATTCAAGAAGAACTCAAGTGTCTGCAAAGAAGGGGAAGAAGGAAAGAAAGAATAAAGTCACATGACACAAAAGGCAGTCTCATCCAATCCCTGGGAAAGACTTCTGCATATCTCTGAGCAAAGTCAGAGTCCTCCTAGGTGTCCTTGGTCATGGTATCATCAAGGCCTGAAATTCACTTTGATCTATTCAGAGAGGATGCATCCTTGAGGGACCCCCATCCATGCTTATGCTAAGTTGAAGGTTAAATTTGGAAGTGATGCCAGAAATGGTAATGGGCATCCTTTCATGGACCCTAATCAGAGTTCAGCCTTAGTGAAGGTAAAGGTCCAGAGAACCAGGCAGATTTTCTCTGAGCCCCGGCTCCTGGGCAGAAAGATATTTCACCTGTGATGGGTATTGCACCTGTGATGGGTATTGCACCTGTGATGGGTATTGCACCTGTGATGGGTATTGCACCTGTGATGGGTATTGCACCTGTGATGGATGCATTTGTCCTCCCTGGCATGCACTCTATTTCATTTCTTTACCCATGGCCAAGGCAAAGAGATAAGCGAGCACATTGTCAGGGCTCACAGAGATGCACAGAGATGCATGGCAGCTAAATTTACATCGGGGCAGATGTCAACTTTCTGCAAATCAGGAATGTGTCTCCCTAAGTCAGCCGGCAAGGCTAGCCACTCATCTTTGCTTGCTTTCCAGTTCTAGTGGCCCCTTCGAAAAGCTAAACACGGCCCTATTCAAAGCTTACATGTCTTCTGCGAGCCTCTTCTAAATCAAGTCCTACATCCCCCTTTCAGTGTGAACAACTGCCCTAAAACCATGTCCCCAAATGAGTCAGGCAGGTCTGGGAACCCCAACCCAGGCTGACCCATTCTCCCTTGCCCCCTCTCACTGTTGCTCGCCCTTCCCTGTGCTGCACCCCTAAGCACCTAAGCAAAGAAGGGTTTGGATTTCATCCGGGTGGTACAGACTTTGCATCTCCATTTAAGTGACAAATCTAAGAGATTTTTTTTCCAGTCCTATACTGATATCCTTCTTGGAGACAGTATGGATTCCATGAGGGCAACTCCACTTGTCCCTCGCCTCAGACAGCCCAATTAAGAAGCTGGGAAGTGGTGCCCACAGGGTTATCTCTGCCACCCCCCAGGGTGCCTGCAATGGGTCACTTCCCTCTTCCTAGGCACAGCCATTCTGACTCCTCTACTAGACATGCACACAGCAAAGAAATCAAACCCCAAGCAAGAGCCACTCACCTAAACGAACTTTAAAATTGGTCTGGAAAAACATGCATGGATCATCGGTCTACTCATGACCGTCACCGTTCTCTGACACGGAGCCAAAGTGTCACCGGCGGAATCCACACAAGAACACACCGGAGCACGTACCTACCCGTGTCGGTATATCCCCCACTGACTCAGGTTTCTCTCACCCACCTTTGGATGGGAGCAAAGGATTCAACCTCTTGCTTTCCTCCCTCCCTCCATACTTCCCTCCCTGCCTGTCTGCCTCCCTTGCGTAGTATTTTTTTTTTTCAGGGCGAGTACTATTCCAGAAGCTTAACTGTGTCCCAGTTAGACCATGAATGCAGTCAAAGTCTTTGCTATCGTGGTATCTTGTAGGGGACGTCCGGGATCAGTAGCCCATTCCCTAGGAGCAGGACCCAAGAATGTGCTCCCAGAGACAGGCTGGGACCGGCACCTCCACACTGAGTGCGTGCGCGGCTTGCACACAGGCACAGAGTGCACCGAGATCTGCATCCTTGCAGCAGATAGCTCCAAAGCCATCCAGTCTGGCCAGGGGAAATCTCCCACAAAAATAGCGCTTTCCCTTACTCTGCTCCTCGCTAGTCTCCCTTCTACCACAAAACAGGGACTGGAGGAAAACAAACAAACAACCCAAGTGGTTAGAGAATGTTTCTTCCCCACTCCTGGGGCACTTAGCATCCCCCTTCCTGGCCACCGCTGAGCATCAGCAAAGCCTTAGGCTTTGAAAACTGCCACAAAGCATGTTAACCGAACCAAAACTCATTTCCTCTCTTTATCCCAAGGCAACCAGACCAAGAGCCTAAACCTTAGGACCTTCCTTACCTGATGTGGATCTGTCTCTGTCTCTCTCACACGCACGCACACACACACACACACACACACACACACACACACACACACACACACAAACCACACGGGACCCTCCAGCCTCGGGCTCTGAGTGGCCGCAATGACTTCCACTTACTTCATCAATAAGCGTAGCCCTCCACCATCTGGCGCCCGCTCCAGCTATGCGCTCGCGCAGTGCGCCCCCATTCACTCAGCTTCATTGATCCCCAGCAGCAACACAGAGTTACTTTCTCTTTTGCTACAGCGTAAATGTAAGCTTCGGAGTGGGCGGGGCCTCCGCCGAGCGACGTCGCACTGCGCCAATGAGGATACAGAGACCGCCGCCCGCTACCTCACAGTGGCCTGTGGCCAATAGGTGGCCGAGAGGGCGGAGAAAGGGGCGTGGCCTCACCGCGGGAAGGCGGCCCGCTCAGACGCGCTTGTGGGTTTGGTGTGTTAGAACGCGGGCGGTGATGTCATTGGCAACCAATCAAAAACTTAAAAGAGCCAGCCCGGGCCCGCGCGGAGCAGCAGTTCTCTATTTACATGTAAACCTAGGCGGTAGGACCCGGTTAACCCTTCCCGGGACTGAAGTGTCAACGGCTTGCGCTGGCCGCTCCGGCTGAAACTGGTTCTTTCTGAGTACCGGACCCTCCCACGCCACCTGGTGCGGACACGGGCCTCGCGGGGGGTCTCCACTCCACCTCGTGACTCGGGGTGGAGGCTCCGAAGTGTCCGGCCAACTTTCCCGAGGCCGCGGGCGACTCGAAGCCGGGTGCCTCCATGGCCGTGACAGCGCCACGCGGGACGTGAGCGCGCACAGGGCCGGCCTCCCCGCAGCCCCGCTCGGCCCGGCCCGCAGATGTCGCTGCCTCTCCGGCTGCCCTACTGCTCTCCTGCCCGGAGGCTGCGCGCAGTGCTCCGGTTTCCCTACTTCCGTGCCCCGGTCACTCCCCCGCCGTCCCCAGCCTGTTCGCAGGACTCCGAATCCGAAGGTGGCACCCCGGAGAGCTACGCGGAGGAGGAGGCTTGGCTCCCCTCCAGCGGCCACAGGGGGCGCACGGGCGCCAGCCGTCAGGGCTGGGCGTGGCCGGGCCAGACGAGCGTCCAGCAAGCGCCACAGCCCCGGCACCGGCCCCCACCCTCCTCCCAGATCGCGGTGTCTTTTCGCTCGCAGTCCATCCGCCCCACGGTGCTGGGCGGTCGGCCCTTGGTGGCGCAGGGCCCTCGGCGAGCTAAGGACCGCCAGCTTGGAACTGCAAGCGCGAAGGACGTCGAGTTTCGGATGAACAGCCAGAATGAGCGGCGCTTGAGGAGCGTAGAGGAGCCAACGCCTGGCCTCCCGGTTCCCCGATCTTTGACTATCAGAGGGGTCCCAGGACGCAGCCTGTGTCCAGGGAAGAGAAATGGGAAACTGAGCAAGTCTGCCAGTGCCTCGCCAGAAAAATATCAGGGAACCTGCAGAAGAGTGACCCTGGAATTCAAAGGAGTGGAAAAGCTTAGATGAACTATGACGAAGATAGATCAAAGAATCCTGAAGCAATAGAGCTTTTTATACCTCCCTACCCCCTCCTAGCTCAGAGAAGAAGACCAATATGTGAAGTAATTGAAGTGGAATAAAACATTATCTGCTCTGTGGAAGGTTCAGCTGTCCTCACTAATGAGAAGTGTTCGGAGGCATGCTTTAGACCCCAAACATTCTTTTGCCACTGTCGATCTAGAATCAGAAGGTTTGAACTAGAATCAGAACCCTCACCTTGGCTGGCCCTCTATGGACTGACTGATCTCCCTTGAGTGCACACTGGTGTTGCCAAAAAGATTTTTATGTAGCCCTTTGTTACACCTATACCCACACACGTTCCCCTGAAGGCCAGCTCATGAGTGTCCAGGACACACCATTTGGTCCTTAGATCTTTGAGAACCAGTAAGGTCAGGATAGGCTGTATGTGCTTTTCAGAGAGGCCAGAAAAGAAGTTTCCAGACTTTGTAGGTGCTTGTAGTTGAAATACCTGGGACTATCTGAGTACAGTTACTGGAGGCGGTGGAGGTCCCCATTCACGCTTTGAGTTCTAAGTATTGAATCTGACTTTTGTCTGTCCAGTCAGATTCCCTGTGTTTATATGTGCACCTATAAAACGTGAATTTCCCTGTGGCGGGAGGTGAAAAGGTACTTGTGTGAATAACTGAGGGAGGGTAGGAGGAGGTTCTATGTAGACGGAAAACATTGGAAGGGGTGAGTTTGTTTTAGAAGGGACCCTCTGCCTAAAGGTGTTTAAGAGCCTGTGAATTGCCATTCACAAAGCCCTGAGGAGGAGGTGAAGTGAGAGAGATTTAATGAGATGATTGTTTTATAGTTTCAACCTTAGATGTTATTGCAATTTGGTTAGATAAAAATGTAAGTCATCCAAGCTGGAAGAAAGGGGGGGGGGAACTACTGACAAAACTAGTCATCATCAATCACACCTGAATCATAGAGTAATTACCAGATTACTAACATGTGCAAAGATATGGAGGCTTTTTAAATTAGGTAGCACGGCTTGCATAGCTTATATTCTAGGAAGAAGTCAGATATCAGGGAGATTTTTACCCTCTCTCTCTATTCTACAACGCTTTTATACAGAGAGAGGTGATTTTGATTGATCATGAGTGTGAAAATACTTTCTGGAGTTTAAATGCAGGGAATCAGCCAAGGGCCGTGAGCACAACCCATGTCAAATGCACAGCCCAGGCTTGTTGCTGTGTTTAGTCCCCTAGGAAGAGTGAAGCCTCTTCATTGCCCTTGGGGTTTGTCATGTTTGTGTTGGTTTGTAGCCTAATTCCTACAAACTCTAAGGACCCTGGGTTTCTACCAGAGCCCTGTGCTGTGTGCGAGCGGAAGGCTGAAGTTAACTGTGGCTACGATCCGAGACAGAAAGCAGATAGTGTGAGGTGGACTTGTTCTAATGTTCATCAAGTGTCTGATGGCAGAATGGTGAGCTCTTCAAAATCATCCTGAAGAAAAAGGGAGATTCCGGGAGATTCTGGAATTAAGTTGGGGAGAGGCTTCCAGGAAATTTGGCAAAATTAAATTCCTCAATAAAGGTGCTATTCAATCAGTAAGAAGTAGGAAATGTGTTAAGGACTAGAAACGAGGAGGTGGGGAGGTAAGGTCACGGGAGTCATTCTCAGGCAGGGCTAGGAGGAGCTCCTGGAGGAAGTGGCCTTGAAGGCGGTTCTGCTGAGAGCTTCAGTCCTCCGCAAAGGGTAGACACCTTTCTGAGCTAACGGTGTAATGAGGGTAATGAGGGCGCATTTTGTGAATGAGTGGGAAGAATTCTTCCTCCTGTAATTTTGTTTTATTATAGTGGCCACTCACTGTGACTTTGCACACTCGAAAGGTGGTTAGTTGGAACTGAGACACACTGAGTTGAAAACACACTTTGGGTTTTGAAAACTTGTGGAACATTTAAAGGGTGTTAATGTGTGGATTGCTGACATTTCGGATATGCTGGGTTAGATGGCATGTCATTAAACTTAATTTCAATCATCTTTTAGTTCCAATGTGACTAGTAGACCATGTCACATGACTTTACTCACTGCCTGTTTCTGCTGGATGACACCATTCTAGAACCTGCCCTGACTGCTTTAATCTGAAGCCACGTGGATGCCAGAGATCACTCCACCAGGACTCCAACAGGAGCCCCTGTTAGGATGATCTAGAGGAGCTGGGACATCGAGTGGGAGGGGAGACCTGCTGTGGATCTCTGTGATCACATCCCCAACTCCACCCTTGACACGAGTCTAGATCTACAGATCTGGAAATTTTTTTACTCAAGAGACCGCAAGACAGTCTTTCTTTTAAAGATAGAGTCTGTATTGTTTCTGAATCTCTGAAATCAGTTTACCCATAATGCAATTAGAGGCCCAGAGAATGGAGATGATATAGCCGTGTCTGACCTTGGAACTTGGCCCCAGGCATCTTTTCAAAACTCAGGCCTGGCCTCCACTGGCCACACAGAGGTGACTAGCAGAACAGGGGAGTCATAGGCTCCCTGTCCCCACTTAGACAAGACCCCCTTCTCTGGCCTTGTGCTCTCCAAACTGCCCCTGCCTTGTGATGTCACAAATACCTGCCCTTCATCAGAAGAGTATTCTGGCTAGGCCCGAGGGTCAAGATTGTATATATACCCAGTGTATTAGCCATGGGCCACTAGCAACACCTCAGGTGGAACTGATGGTTTCTAATTGTTATTGTGTGTGACCACACCAAAGACCGTCACATTTCCCCCCTCATCGAGCTGAGCAATCATGTTTCATTCTTAGAAATCCCTGCCAGGTCTAGTCTCAGAACTGAATGTGATCTTACTGAGGAGGGAGGTAGGACACCAGAAGGGAAATGTGTCATGAGTGTGGCTAACCACCCCGGGTACTGCTTCATGTCTAACACAGGTTAAGCATTGTTAGTCTGAAAATCCAAAATGCCCCCAAATTAAATAAATCTTGATACCAATATGTCACAAGTGGAAATTTCAAAATGCAACTGTATTAAAAAATGTTTCTACTATCACCTCTGGATATGTGTCTAAGGTTTATATAAAACATAAATGAGGGAACTGGAGCAATCGCCCAGTGGTTAAAGAATGCTTGCCGCTCTCGCACAGGTTCTGAGTTCAGTCCCCAGCACCTATGCCTGGAAGCTAATGACCAAATTTAACTCCAGTTCAAGAGGCTCAGATACCCTTTTCTGACCTCTAAGGACACCTTCGCTCAGGCGCGCACACACACATGCACACACGCGCGCACAAACACACACAAAATAATAAAATCTTTATGAGCTGTAAATGAGGGCTGGGGAGATGGCTCTGCTGGTAAAGTGCTTGCTGTCCGAGCGTTAGGACCGGGTCAGATGCCCAGCACACATTTAAAAGGACAGGCAGGGAAGTGTGTGCTTGTCACCTCAGTGCTGAAGGCCAGAGACAGACAGATCCTGGAGGCTCACTGGCCAGCTTATCTAACTGAAGTAGTGAGCTCCAGGGTCACTAAGAGACCCTACCCCCCAAAAGCAAGGTAGAGAAGTGAGTTACGAAGATATTCCAGGGCTGGAGAGATGGCTCAGCAGTTAGAGCACTTGCTGGAGAACCTGAATTTCATCCCTACCACCTATACAGTATAGCTCACAACCATCACAACTCCAGTCCCAGGGGATCCAATGCCCTCCTCTGACCTCCTGGCCTCCAGGCTTGCATGTGATAGATATCAATAGGTAGATAGATAAATAGACAGACAGACCGATATAGACAAAACACCCATACGCATAAAGCTTTTGTTTAAAAAAAAATACCCAAATATTCACTTCTGCCCTCCACACGCACCCTCAGGGAATGAACACGCCCACATGCGAGCAGGCGTGCACACACACAAAATAGAGCAATTTCATGGTTTTAGATTTGGCTCTACTAGTTACTTCTCAGTTGTTGTCATCAAACGCCAGGACTAAGGCAAGTTACAGCAGAGTTTATTTGGGTTCAGCGTTACAAAGGGATAAAAGACCATCATGATGGGCAGAGGCATAGCAGCAAGCAGCAGGGCTGGCAAGAACAGGAAGTTGAGAGCTCACATCTGGAACCATAGATATACCACAGAGCGAACAGAAACTGGAGTCAAGGCTTTAAAAACTCTCCAAGCCAACTCTAGTGATGCACTTCCTCTCGCAAGGTCGCACCTCCCCAGAACGTCTCCAAACAGAGCCACCAACTAGACACCAAGCCTTTAAATGTTTGAGCCTATGAGGGACATGTCTCATTCAAACCACCTCAGGTTTTAGCCTCAAAATAGCTCATTATTTGTATATAAGTATTCTACAATCTCCAAAAGAAAAGAAAGCCTGAAACCCTGCTTCAAGTACTTTTGAGTTCAGGATATCTAGCCTGCTCCGTTTGCTAAGTTAATCTTAGCAGCTCTTGCTTGCCTGCAGATGTAGCATTTTCTGTAGATGTCCCAGAGTGCCTGAATGTGCTTTATTGCCTTTAGAAGCAAATATCAATTAGGGCTAGGAGAGATGCAGAGGGACCACCACTTCTGTGGGGCGAGATGCTCTGTGCCGAGCAGCATTGTGATTATTTACAAACACGGACTCATTTAAATGTCCACATTAGCCGGCGGTGGTGGCACACGCCTTTAATCCCAGCACTCCGGAGGCAGAGGCAGGCGGATCTCTGTGAGTTCGAGACCAGCCTGGTCTACAAGAGCTAGTTCCAGGACAGACTCCAAAACCAAAGAGAAACCCTGTCTCGAAAAACCAAAAAAAAAAAAAAAAAAAAAAAAATGTCCACAGTGCTAAAGAAGATTTCACTGGAAGAGGAAGGTGTGGGAACAGCAGAGGTTACGTGATTTTACCCAAACTCACACAGCCAGAAGACTGCAGAGTTGGCCTTCAAGACCAGAGATCCTGAGCAGTTCTCTGCAAGCCCCCTGTGCTCTTTAGCCCACCCTCTGCTTGGCTTTGTGGCTGTCTTCCTTACTCCTTAGCCTCCAGGCTACCAGGAGGCCTCGAATCAACTCTATGAAAGTTGTCCACTTTTCTTTTGTTTTCTATTGATCTTCTGGGAGTCCCAGGAGCTTTGGTTAGGTGACTGGAACGTGAGGGTTCTGACC